GAACGACTGGCATCCGGATGATACTGCCTCATGCCAAGTGTAAACAGTGTGCCTGAAAAAGAAAACAATTTTTTTTTAAGTGACTAACGATGTGAGAATAAGCTTGGACGTAATACTGTGTACCTGTCTGCACTCCTCTAAGATATAAACGACAGTCGAAAACGAAATACATTAGCAGATGCTGTTGCTCTGGCGATCTGTTCAGGAAAACCTGGGGAATCAAAGGTCCGTAGGGCGCTGATCGGATCTCGCACGGGGCGCCCCGGGAAGGCACACACTTCTAGAATGAACAAATTAACAGAGACGACACTAGTGTTAGGTGTCCCTTGGTAGACTTGGAAACGAAATATTCGTCTCAAACTCACCAGCAGCTGGGTTGCCAAGGCAGACTTCTCTGGGAAAGCTGGGGAAGTTAGGTTTTGTAGAACGCCACTGAGAGCTGGTCGGATGGCTTAGGAGCTAGGACACAGATTCCAAGAATTGACAGAGACGGCACTAGTGGTAGGAGGGCCTCGGTCAACCACGAAGCAGTACTGGACTGCCAAACTGACCAGCAGCTGCTGCCGCTGCAGCACTCTGTCCCGGGAAGTTTCAGTGCTATGATCATTGCCCTGTTCCGGCTTTGCGGGGGTGTCCTAGGGACTTCAGGGAGCCAACAAAAAAAAAAAGTTAAACTTCATCTTGTAATAGGGGCATCAAAAATCCTGTTAGTGCATCAAACCTGTCTTGTCAAACTGGTGTAACAAGTACGTAAAAAATGTATAAATTGTTATGTGATATGCTTTACATACCATTTACAATTCCAGTTGCCTTGCGGTGGCGGTTTACTTTTTTGGTTAAAGGTAAGGAAAAAATAAATGTTTGGGAGAGCATCCGTCCTCCCTTTCTTGCTTTGCTTTGTTTTTTTATGATTAGTGTTTCGAAATGGTCGTTACTGAAGTGATCCTGTAATAGAAGAGGTCAGGTTTTAGCTGCGAAGGAATGTAACGCCACCTCAAACGCGAGTTTTCTGCAGCTCCTAGAGTGGCCTGCCAAAGACCTTCCCGAGAAGTCTGCGCCGTCAAAGCTGCTGGCGCGAACAAGGGTTAAACTAAAATATTTTATTTGCTTGCGTTTTGATTTTAATAAGGCTGCGAGCTAAGGAGACCCTATTGACGCTACGAGAGCGAACGCACCTTGAGCGGGCTAAGCACACACTCTCGTGCAGTAAACGTGTCACCAGAGAAAACATACGGGTGCTTGTCGCACTGGCTTCGCTCGCACTTATGTTGAAACGGAGTATAGATACATCCACATGCACGCGTCAGCAGCCGCGAGAGCGTTGCAAGTTATGAACATTGTGCGAAACTCCGAACCTCCGCACGCACGTAAGTGGGAGCGAAGTCGATGCTACAAACCCGAGTAGGCCGTTTTAAACGACGCTTACCTTCACGACACGGGCGTCCGCGCATTCTAAGTCGCCAATGTTGTGCTCGCTCTTACATCCCTCGCGCTTACGGTGGCGTGGAGTGCCTAACTCGCTCTAAACAGCAGTTTCTTTTTTGTTTTGTTTTTTACATTTTGGTGAGCTTTATACAGAGCGCCTACCTCGCAAAACTTGGCGGTTCCCGTCGGGTTGAGATCTTTTCGATCAATTCGGTGAAGCAAGAACTTCCTCCGAGGTACATTTTCTACTCCAAAGAAAACGCTGAAGAGCTTGGTTGTATATAGAGGGCTCTGTTTACCATTTCAACATCTATATATAAGCACATCATTATCGAGTTGAACATTGTTCAACGATCACCCACCGCGCATGTCGTCACTTGCCCGGCCAGCCGGGACTCGTCTTTGCCCGAAGTTACCACACATTGGCGCAGTCGACAACGGAGCGTGCTTCTCAGCTGCAGCCGCAGCAGCTTTATATCGCAATCAGTTCCGGAGGGCTGTCACCTGCTCGTCTACAGAATGGATACGCTGGGGCCACCACCGTTGGCACCCTCGGAGGCACCAAGAGACCCGTTGATTCCCTGAAAGTTGTGGCGGAAGGACTTTGAGAAGTCCTCCCACCAAGTCCTCCAGGCACTGCGATACTACAGCAGTGCCTGGATGTACAAGGATCGTCCAGAGCCGTGTATACAAACAGTTTGGTAAATGGGAGGCGCCGGCAGAGCCAGGGCTTGCACAAGACGCAGAAAGAGGGCTTGACATGGTCTCTAAGGTCCTTATATAATTAGGTCGGCACTCCGGTGTCATCCGTGTGACATCACTTCCGTGACCAAGCTTTTGTGACATCGAACTCCCAACTTTGCACTCCCTTCCAACTGCGGAAAAAGACGTCATTCCATGGCCAAACTAATATGGAGAGGGGTTTTGTGGTACCGCATTCTATTTCATGCTTCCGAGCACGTTTGCAGAATAATGAGCTCCCCAGGAACGTCAGTATGAGCCCTCGCCGGTTTTAGTTCACTGTTTCTTGAGCTAACTCGGATTATCGCATCGTTCTGCTTCCCCTGCCATCCAAAACCATCGTGCACAATTCCGTGCGTCTAAAAGGCGACGTGAGTATTCGTCCATACAAAACAGGTGACTTCAGGGCCGAGGTGAGGTGGCACGTCTTGGTGTGATTGGACACAACGAGGAGTTTGGCATCCACCAAATGAGCCATCTTTGGATGGCGACCCTCCAGACGGAGGACGCCACGCTGCGCCTGATCGCCGCAAAGAAACTGGAGGTAAAAAGCAGGCCTTCCACTGTCGTGGACCCGGACAACGCAGACGTCCGCTCGAAGCTCCGCATGAAGCTGCATTGGCTACCCTTCCACGTACCGGACGAAGCCGTCAGGAAGCCCCTCGAGCCTTTCGGGGAGATTCGGGACTTCACACGTGAAAATGCGGAGGAAGGAAGGTTTCACCGTCGTCCAGTCGACGACCAGGCTGGTGCGGCTAAGCCTGAGGAGGGCGTTTCACTAAAACACCTCCCGCTCCAGTTGAGGATTGTCGGTGGCCACGTTCTGGTCGTGGTCATGGTTAGAGCCCTGCTTATCCACGAATTATGCGCGGATATCCGCAGTAAACTGGCGGGTGCGGATGAAAATTAGACGAATTTTGGCGCGTTGCGGATCGGATGCGGATGTCAGGGGCTGCGGATGCGGATATCCGCGGATCCGGACCTACATTTTCGCCTATTGGCCTTCAGTTCGTCGACTGAATGCTACCGGGCAGTTCATCGAAAACCTGAGACGTTTCGTCAGAAACAACCCTGCTATTTTCGTAACAAACTCTTTGCTTCTCGCCTGGATTACAGGAAGTAGGGAGGCATGGTTTAATTAAGCACGCCTTAGTGAATGGCAGGCTAGCTTTTAGCGGATTAGTGAAGAAATGCGTTGTCGACAAAACGTCACAGGGGCGTGTGCCCACAAAACGTACAGTGTCGACGAACCGTGTGTCCATGAAATGTATGTCCATGAAAAGTTGTCCACGAAACGTATTTCCACAAAACGCGTTTCGAAGAAACTATAGTGATCCTAAGAAAGATCTGATTCTTACTGAAGATCGCTTCAATTAATGCGTTCCATCTCGTCAAAAATGCGATCTATAGAAAAAGTAAAGAATGCAGCGCATCAATCGTCTCGAGAAAGCTAGTACGTCGGCATGGAAAGAGCGGAATACTTTCTCCGGGCAGAGTGTCGCGGACTCCTAGGACAATCACATAACTGAAATAATTTTTCCTTCGACGCGCAGTGTCTCGGGAAGGCTGATCGCTTTTAACATAAATACGATGAAACTGATAATGATAAAATGACATCCCCTTTGAATGGTGACCCGATGATTCTTTTTGTAAAAAGATAAGCAAACAACTTAAAAAGTGCTATTTGCATTTTTTTTTTTTCATTCACGCTTGATGTTATGATATGCAATGAATGCCTGGATTGTGAGTCGGTTGTGGTTCCACATTTTGCGGATGCGGTTTGGATATGGATACAAAGTTTGCGGATGCGGATTGGATACGGATACAATAATGTAAACAGTTTGCGGATGCGGTTCGGATGTGGATACAAAGTCTGCGGATGCGGATCGGATGTGGATAATGAAACTGTTATCCGCGCAAGGCTATAGTCATGGGTCCGTCTTCCTTTGTGTCCGACGGGAATGTCGTGCACCGCGGTGCGACGAGTGCCATCGCTTCGGACACGAGCATGACAACTGTGCCCTGACCTACGCGACAGTGACGCAGGAAGTGGTAGCGGAGGAGACGATGTCCTCAACATGGATGAAGAATTAGCAGAGGAGGCCGCACGGGACGTCGATACTGAAGTCTTCGCTTCAGCCAGTGCGAAAGCACTGGCTGAAGCAGGGTTGAAGCGATTCTTCCGGGCACTATACCGGAAGACGTGCTTAGTACACAGTTGCAGCCCGGGGGCACGTCGTGAAGGCTGACCTTCGCAAGCGTCAGGGAGCAGTCTTGTCGTCTCCATTGACGTCCGAGTGTCTATCTTAAAACACGTCGAGGCCAGCCTGGCTCCGGATCTAAAAGATACGAGCCAGACCAGCTATAGCCATGGCAACTCGGACATTTGCGACGAGAGCGAATCCTTCGAGCGGCCAGGGTTTCCATAACGAGAAATTCAACTTCCGTCGAATTTCTTAATATGGAAAGTTCGAAAATTCGAAATCTTTCGAACCTTTCAAACCGCTTGATTTGATCATCGTACCTGCGGTTCGAAAAAAGTTCGCGGCATCCCCAATTATTATCCTCATCATCGATGTCTTCGTCGTCGTCTTCGCCGTCGTCGTTCTAAGTGGTCACAAGCGCTTGAAACGTAGTCAATTGACCAATTATTCAACCAAACTTTATTCACATCCTGTAAACATCAAAAGCACTGCATAATATAAATAAGGGATGCGGGTTTCACCTGGCACGCATGCTAGAGCCGCATGAACAAAATTCAAATGACGAGATTCAGGGTTCAAATTTCTAGGTATTGAGATCACGCTTAAACACAAAAGTGTGAACCAGCCTTTAACCATCCTTAAGTGACGATCAGAGGTGCATTCCCCCAGCCACCTCAACAGCGGCCCCAGTCATATACGAGTTCTCCGGACTACAGAGGAACTTGATGACGGAGGCTACTTCAGGGACGCGAGCTGTCCTCTTCAATGCCGTCAAGCTCAAGATGTCGGTCTTGCACTGGCCAGCCAGGGGTCCCGTGAGCGGGGTGTCCGTTAAACCGGGGAGCACGCAGTTGCACCGGATGCCCTTGGGAGCGAGCTCTTGGGCGACCGTCTTGGTCAGGCCGACCACTGCGAACTTGGAAGCCGAGTAGGCCGAGAAACCGGGGTACGGCCCCTTGCCCAGGATACTTGACACGTTTACTATGACAGCATCCTTTACCCCGCTCGCCACCATGTCGCGGGCTGCCGCCTGATTCACCAAGAAAGTGCCCTGTAGGGGTAAGGAATACCGTCCAAAGCTTAATTAGCGTGGAAGCTCAGTTGTTGCATGTTCGTGTTAAGCAAACAGGGGAGGTTTGGAGTATTTGTACTGAATGTGCCCTTGCCAACCATTTACTCATGGCGAATTCCACTGGGCGTTTTGGAGCGCGCCGGGATCAGTTGACCATATCCAGAATGGAGCACACGATCCGAACGGGGTCGCGCGACCTATGGATCCCCAGTGGAACATGACCACTGCTCCGGGATCGGCAGCTGCCTTCCCGTCATTCAACTGCCCGGGAATCCCCTTTCCGTGGTCGCCGCGGTCGTTTCGAAGACGTTTTCGCAATCGCGGCGCTAACACGTGTTCGACGCACGAGCGGCAAGAATGGCTCAGGAGCTTCTAGCAAAGATTGCCGGAACGCCCGTAGCGCAGCAAAACCTTTTCTTCTCCTTCCTGGAAAACAAACGTCTGTCAAGCCAAGGGGTAAGCAAGTGGTCATTACGAATTCTTCTGAGGCGAGATGGGCGAGATCAGGCGAGATGCCCCGCGAGAAAGGAAGTCACGTGTGTGCGCCGAGGGCTGGCCCGGCTATTTTCCGGTTGAAGCAGCCGAAATCATAGTAGCGACTATTCTCGGATCCAGATCGAGATCTGGAGCGTTAAATGGTCGTGCTTCTCCAGATCGGAATCTGGAGGAGCACGACTATTTAACGTTGTTACTTCTAATATAAAATTATGTAATTACATTACTTCACTAAAAGAACTGTATTTTACATATAAGTAATATCACTTTAATGTCTACCGTTTCAGAACATAAGCACTTTGCGCAACATCAGTTTAGATGTGAGATTTACATCGATGTACAAGACATCGTCAAACCTCAGAAGAGGTAGCAAATTATGCCTTAAAATTCAATGCGATCATGTTATCCGGGCTCCCGCTTAACGCCCTTTCGCTCGAAGCCATCATGAGCGGGATAATTCTGTACGGGGCAGTTTGAACTGGGGATTTTTTGTTTGGATCTGGGACGTCTTTGTCCGGGACGTCTTTGACCAGGACTATTTTGTTTTGCACCATTTTTCAACGGAACCCTTTCGGGCGGGATTATTTTGTCCGGGGACATTTTAGCCCCGGACAAAATACATGACAAAGGCAAAAGGAGCAGCCCGTAAGCGCTATCCACGTACCTCCTAAATTTCTTTCTTCAACTATTTTTCTAAGAGCGAAGCTCCTAAAGCAAATCTTCTAAAGCGCATCTATCCTAAAAGCACATTTTGTGAAGCACGCAACACCTACCACTGTCGATCAGAGCATACTTCGTGTGGCCGTTTGCGTTTTTTTTTTTTCAGATGTAATTGTTAATGTGATTGGTATAGGCCTATATGTTTCCATCGTTTATAGAACTCTAATAATTACAAACATAAGTGTTAGTGTTCGTAATGCGTTTTTCGTATATTTACAAACATAATGTTGCCTATGAACCGCGCGATCCCAATCGAGTAGTTGAAAGAGGTGAACGCTGTTTTATTTGAAGTTCTCTCGGCACTCTCAACGCTGCGCGTTCGTCTGGTACTCCCGCTTCATGTATTTAGTTTTCTCCTAGATGGAAATAGTGGCTTAAACTACGACCAGAAAGTGGGAGGGAGTGCATACTAACGAAGTTACTAAGGAGCTGCAAAGGGCGAATTCTGCATATGAGCGGTTGTAGTTGTGCACTGTGCCTAAGTTCACCCCTAAGCTGACGGTGCAGTGGAAGCTACGTGCTCGTTCGTCCAGTCATAGGTCTATTCTCCTCACCACGTGATGTAGACTTTCCCGCTAATTCGCACGGGCAGAGGGCGGTGTCAGGCTGTGAGAGTGAGGCGGCTGATTGGTCCAGCCTGCGTATAGCTTCCAACGCACTGTCAGCTCAGAGGTGAACGGTATATAGGAACACAGGCAAATATGCGTGCCGCCGGTTAACTTTTCAGAATTCCGAATCGGCGGTCGCGGCGGCGGCTGGAGTTTCAAAGCTGCTGTTGTGTGTGCGGCGGCGAGGGGAGGGGTGCGAAATAGAGATGTTGCAAAAGAGCGTATTGCCATAAATCGCGTGGTTGTACGAGGAACGGCGGCGATGGGTAGAGAGCGACAGCGCGGCGGCGAAGGGACGGCGCCGCGGCCCGCGCCCCGCGCCCCGCGATGACGTATGGGTGTTTGCGTACCGACGGATTTCGCTAGAAAGAGGAGCTAAGAGCTCCGGTTGTGAAGTGTTGCACGACAAAGTGCTTGCCGATGACCAGAGCCAAGAAAGGTGAACGCGGCTTACCCTAACGTTGACGTTGATGAGATCGTCGAACTCTTCGGGCTTGAAATCGACCAAATCCCCCTTTTTCAAAATTCCTGCGGAGTTTACGACAATGCTGAGCGGAGTAGAGCTCGACTTCCTAATGTTTTCGAACAAAGCAGCTACTGAATCGGCATTGGCAACGTCAACGCAAAAAGCTTGGTGACCCTGGCTCCCTGAAAAAAGGAAAGCAAACTGTTTAAATAATCGCTCACAGTTAGAAATCGGCGGAAAGCATGGCGACCATTTGAACCATTTGCCGAAATCTTCGAGAATGATCAATTAATTGGCTTCTATGTACATCACAGAGATATACCCCGAGAAACCTGGTTATGAGTCTCAGGTACTCAAGTCTCACACTACAAGACGCGCCGCACTGCGGTAATTCAACAACGGCCCGAATATTGCAGAAAAAACTAACTACAGCTGTTTCTAAATGGCATGCAACAACCGATGTTGCGGTCTCAGGTTTTCATTAATATGGTGGAGTGCTGTCTCTTGCCACAACGTGGCAAGAGACAGCACTGCCCGGCCAAAGGTGGCGGCCTGGGGCCTGCAGTTATTCTTCGGTGCTCATAACAAGCAATGTTTCATACAGAAACTCAGTTTATCCAATACAATTTCAGTTCCTTAAAAAAAAAAAAAAAAAGAAACGTCAAATGCCACTACAAGACTCCCCGACGCATGGAGATTTACAGTGTGGCCTTAGCAGTATACTACCGATACCCTTAGCTTCAATTGAAGTGCCTCGCGCTGTGATTACACGCCCGCACGCAAGGGCAAAGGCCGTTTATATGGAGCCCGAACACTGCCCGTGCATTCGACATGTTATGCGTCTATAGTGACCACAAAAAGGAGAACATCAGGGAAGAGCTTTAGCGGTTCTTCCTCTAGCGCGAGCTTCCTACTTTTGACAATGCTTCGGCATCTTATGCACCTCGAGCAGGCGGGAGCAGCCAAAGCACGGCGGAAGGTATAGGGCGCGTGCTGGAGGCCTGGCGTTCGAAAGACACGCCCAGCCGTTCTCCTTCTTTTAGTGATGATCATATAACAAAGGGCATGTTTATTTTAGATAGATACCGATAATCCTCGACGTTTTCTTAATAGAAAGTTTTAGTAGATCGTTCCGATACTTCCGATAGCCCCGATAACGATACTCTGCATGCTCAAGGGAGGCGGTGGCGGAGTATCAGGTGTCGTTATCGGAGTCATGGGAACGATCTACTAAAACTCTCTAATGACAAAAAACGTCCATTACGGTTGTATTAATTAAACCGAAAAATAAGCGTATATCACATTGGTAAAAAAGATAGTTTACCTGGCAGGGATTGAGCCACGTTAGTAGCGCGTTCAAGCCCCGTACTAGCCACAATCACTTGGGCACCTTCTTCGGCGAGGGCGCGGCAGACTCCTTCGCCGATTCCGCTGCTGCCACCCGTCACAAGAGCACGGCGACCGGATAAAGACATGGTAGGTACAACAGGGCGGCGCTGGAGCGATGTGGTCAGGCTGGCGGCTTCTTCGAACCTAAGTGTGCTTTCAGAGTTCTTAGAGGAAACTGTGGAAGGGTCGGATGTGATCTGGATACGCGATCGCCGATGGGCGTACATGGAGACGAAGGAAGAAAAGAAAAACGAGTGAGAAAGCGATGGGTTTTCATTTTCCTCTATCGAAGGAGACATTGAGAGCGGTAGACTGACTATACGTGACTCGCGCGTAACCTTGGATAGAAGGAAGCGATAAGCGGAAAAATCGAATGCAACTGTACTTTCAGCCTGTGACCGCTTGAAACGCACCACCCCAATTTTAATGGCTGTTTTTCGAGAAGCACACATTGAATTTCTCATTCCGGCAACAAGTTCCAGCTGAATGTTGCCTTTTTAATATCTTTTAGGAGAGGATAATAATAATGTAACAGTAAATAAAAACGATTTTGAAGCACTACGGGACAAAGGCTGATAATTTGCACGTGTCAGGGTGTGTATGGTTTGCTAAACATTTGCGGATGTTGCGCCAGATGTGGGAGCCGCTATAATCCGTTGCAACTCAAGAAGGTAGGGCGAGGGAAAGGAAGGCCGGGGAGGAGGAAGCAGACGGAACACTGGAGAGAGGAGGACGTTTTCCCCTCTCCCCTACAGCACTCTGTCTCCTGCCTTCCTTTTCCTTGCTCTACCCTCTTGAGCGGCAACTCACTATAGTTATTTTGTTTGATAATTTTAGCCGAATACTCTCTGCGAAAGAATAACGCAAAACCATTCGGACGGAAAATGTAGGGCATAACACCGTGACACGCTTTAGTTTGTCACTAGGGCTTGCATACTTGTGTGTTCACGTCTGCGCTCATGCATGCGTACGTGCGTGTATGTGTGTGTGTGCACACACACGCACACACACAGTACACATGCGTACCGTACACATTGTAACGAAATACAGTACACCTGTGTACCGTATTTTCCAGGCTATAGTCTGCGCCCGGTGTAAAGTCCGCAGGGGCAAATTTTGTGTCAAAAATAAAAGTTTTTGCTTACACTGTAAGAAAGTTATGTAAAAAAACAGAAATTGTCTGGCAGCTGGCAGCTGCCAGACAATTTCTGTAAAGCTCTGTTTTCTGTTTTTAATTTTTTTTGTTATTTAAGATATTTTTCTTGTTTCTAATTAACAGATAATTTCTGTAAAATTACAAGGTCTGCGAAACTCCTTTCACGGAACTTGTGATTTTACAGAAATTATCTGTCAGTGGGAAACAGAAAAAGTATGTTAAAGAACAGCAAAATCAAAAACAGGGAACACAGCTTTACAGAAATTTTCTGGCAGGCCAGCTGCCAGACAATTTCTGTTTTTTTACACTACTCAAATCTTAGAAAAAAAGGTTAAAGTGCAGGCGAGCTGGTGTAAGTTATACTTGATGATTAAAACCTGAGACTGGTTTGAAACACGGAAGCTCGTGAAGGAGGAAAAAAAACGGACAGACAACGTCTCAAAACGGAGTCGTCGTCTGTCTCTTTTCGTTCCTCCTTCACGAGTTTCCGTTTTACAAACCAAAGTCTCAGGTTTCAATCATCATGTATAATCAAATCTTAGCACAGAAGATTTCTCTAAAATTACAAGTTCTGTTAAACCAATCCCAGAAAAAAAAAAAAAACAGCATGGGCAGCTTATGTAAAATAAGAAGTTCCATCAAATCAGGTACAGAGAAATACGAGCGGTGATAATTCCTATAATATTACAAGTTTCGTGAAATCGAAGACTGTGAAAGCCCACCTCACTGCTGATATATTGCAACGCGACAGGTATGTTACTAGGCCTCAAAGCTACTAAAGCATGCATTGTAGCAAATGTGATTGGATGTATTTTATTACCTTTGACAGTATGCACGCTTTACTACCTAGATACCATTGTACACAACCGTCACGTAGTAATATATTATCAGAAAGGTGATTGTTTGGTGACGCCTTGTTCCACCGTCAAATATCAAATCTGCAAAATTTAAGAATAATTGTAATAAGTGTACTTTATCGCGCCGGTCCATAATCTACAATGGCAAACACGTATCAGGCAACAGATGGTTGTGAGAGTTTAATTTTGCTTGTCTGGCGCAGTGCACCAAACAACGGGGGCCAAGTAACACGGAAGAAGAGACACGGAGTAAGGTTGGTTTTTAGTTTGCAGTTTTCTTTAAATGCTTCTCTCAGGCTGCGCTGTGTTACGTCTTCTTTTTATGTCCATCCTTGTTTCGTATTATACCTGCATTAATCACATATTTCCTGCAGAAGAATGTTTGCACTCACATAAATCACAATAAAATATCAAAACCTTTATTAAAAGAAAACAAGAAAGCAAATATTAAGCCGGTAGGACGCCTGCATGGCACATGTGTCTTCATGTTTTGAATGTTTAGAAGTCATAATCATGCAACGCTGTCACCAGTGCTGCTGCAACCTTGGGCGTCTAACAATGTTGTTCGGATTTTGTTCGTCGAACTTTCGTACCTTTTCCTGGGTTTACTGCAGCGATGGCACTGGAGCAAGAAAACAAAGTAAAATTTTGGGTTTTTACGTGCCAAACCAATGACGGGCATCTGGCACGCCGCAGAGGAGGACTGTGCATTAATTTCCACCGCTTAAGGCTCTTTTGACGAGCAACCCAAAAGTTCGGTTACACGGCGCCTACTCTCCAATAAACCTCCCTCAAATAGACCGATCTCACTAGGAGTTGCGCGACACCACCGCTGGCGCGGTGCATTCTGGTACCTTTGGTTCTCCCCAATACTACGGCCGTTTCAGCGTGCGTTGTATGCCCGGCGTTTGGGAGTTTCCGCGTCAGCACGAGACTTTTTATCGGGTGTCCGCTCACGGTTTTTAATGGGTGACTTCCCCTGTTGAGTGCAAGGCTGCCACAAAACAACACCACACAAAAAAGCATAGGGTTGTATGTCTTCTCGACTGGGCATCTAAAAGGTTGAGTCAATTTCAGGAGATGCACACAATCACAATAGCATATAAAGCTCACAAACAGCGCAAAACAAATATGTGTGGTGGTTTTTTTAATGACACTTAACATACCAATATATATGAACATCTTTATTGAGTAGAACTGGCCTGGGACTTGGTTACCGAGTTGCGTGCTGTAATTGCAACGGGTCATGCGGTGACAGTCAAGATCGCCTTTGTCTCTTCTCGACAGGAGAGTGCCTTTCCCTTCCACTAACTGCTGCGTGCTGAAACCGCACGCAGCAGGAAGCAGCCGATTTCAATCCCTCGGTAATCAGTAATTCGAAATCAACAAAAGTGAACATTTTTCCTGTTTTTATAATTTAATTTTTTTTGTTTTATCTAAATTTAGAGCATTACCGCCTTCATAAAGGCTCTCCTGTAACTGCTAGAACACCGCTTTGTTGTTTGCCACTGGGAGTAATACACTACACAAGAGCGCGAAAGGTGCTGAGTCAGTCCTCATCGCGACTCAGTAAATTACGAAATGATGAATAGACACTTTCGTTCCTACCTCTGCATGAACTCCAAAAGCAGGCTTGTCTCCTTGCGGTAAACGATTTTTAAGGCAAAGTGAGCAAAAAACACCAGCTTGAAGGCATGGCATGGGCTGGACGTGTGGACCACTGACTGGCTGTCGATGCATATCGTGAACGACTTAACAGTCACAAAGCTCCCTCCTGAATGAAATGTGTGATAATCTAGCAATGCCTACCTGTCTGCTAGTATCCTTTGCAACTCTACCTTTTTTACAAATGAAAGGAGAGCCTGGCATGTCGCCCAAGTCATCGTCACATGCAGTTTCCTGTTATGGGGGAAGTGTTCCACACATACATAAGTATTTTGGTTTGTAATTTGGTTTTCTTTACAGGAGAAGTTTTCAGTGGCATAAAAGGCATGCGAGAAGTCGATTGACCTTATATGTCCGATACTAAAAAGAATCGCCTGTTCAATTTCAGTTCATGCTGTGGCGCAAATTATGACTAAATATTTTTGAAATGTTGAATTTGCATAGTGCGCAGGCTTTGAAGAAATTTTTTTTCCTTGAGTGCAAATGAATGTAATAAGCGTAAACAAAAGCCTTCCATAGCAGACAAGGCATTTACCCGTATATTAAAAGATTAATTTCAATACTGTGCACAATATAGTAACGTGTACACACTAAATTACAAGTTGACCTGCTAGGAATGCTGAGAAAAAATGGGGTTGCAAAATCTAGCTTGCAATGTTTACTTCGATTAGTTTGTTGAAGAGGTCCCTGTCTTCCTCGAAGATGGCCAGCAGTAGTTGAGGAGCACCTTCATCTTCGACTGTTGTAGGCTTCCTACTCATCTTTGCGGCTTCAATTTCCCGCAAGCGTGCCCTCGCGCTTGATAACTCAGGAGTGAGTAAAACAGAGCATGGTAAATAATTATTTTCACGCGAACTGGTAGAATTTGGCGCTGGCAATACGTTAAACCAACAACGCGTGACAATTTCGAAATCAAATAATTTACATGGCTATTCCATGACATATTTTCAGAAAAAGAAAATACATTTAGTGTTTTAAAATTATCCACGATCTCTATCGAAAGACACCGACCGCAACTGCATCATCTGTGCTTTAAGACGTTTGTATATTCCTAGCGCTGTTGTGAACGTTGGCTTGTGGTTGCTCACTCGTGGACCCTGTGACTCCCTTCGCTTTCAAAGCACACACGACGATTACGAATGATACTTTGCGCCTTCCGGGAATATCAGAGGGGCACTTCTCCGGTCACGTTTTCGCTATGTGCTCGCAAACCCCGCAGCTTCTCGCGTACCGCCAAACCAAAACAATACCGGCGCCATGTCTAGCGTGCGTGTTGCCAGATCTTACCGGAAGTCGAGACGCTGCGTGGTACAACTCAGCAGCCAAGTCAACAAAAAAAAGCAAATCCAAGAGTGAGGGGCGGGGCATAGTTCTCCGCGGCGGTCGAAAGAGCGTGAGTTTCAAATGTGAAGATGTTTTGACTCCGACTAAATTACGTCCTGTGACGTAAATATTGCTAAAATATATTTTATTCGCAGAAAATTTGTTTTGTCACATGCTTGTCCCAACTAGACTGTTTAAAAAAAACAAT